GCCGCCCTCACAGCGCGAACGCATGCTGCTGCGGCCCGAGGAGACATACAACAGAAAGACGGGTCACAAACGTTCCAAGAACCCACAGCAGTATTTCTTGACGTCTCCCACAGACCCCAAGACGAGTTCCCCACAGCGCCGGTCACCACGTGCCGCAAAGCTGCGCTTACGACTGAAGAAGTGCCGGTCATCAAAGCTGCTCCTGGACTTGTTGCGAGCAGCCTGCGATGCAGGCCGTGTGGACATCAGCATATTCAGTGCTGCCGTGCAGCGATGCGGCCAGATGCGTTGGTGGAGACCTTTGCAAGATATCTTGCAGATGCAGCACAAAGCACAAGTAAAGTTGGATTGTGTGCACGTTTCCTCCGTGCTGAATGCTCTCGCCACATGCCTCCGTCGGGACGGAAAATTCGAGGTGGTCCCGGCTCGGGCACAAGCCGCTCTCAAGATCGCACACGAAGTTATTGAGGAATGTAAGGGGTTGGTGCAAACGGAATCCGACTACAATATTCTATTGACAGCTTTATTCAAGCTGTGTTCTCAGATTGCGAGTGTTCGTAGCCATCAGTGGGCTTTGAGGATATGGGATTGGTCCTCGGCGACGGCATTCGAAAAAGACAGTCTTACCTGGACGGCCTTTCTGACACTGTCTGAACAGTTTGGCGACGAAAGCCTAGTCGACAGATACTTGCAGGAAGGTCTTTCGGATGGGGCTTCATGGACGAGAAACCCAGTTCTGCTCGGAGGCCTGCTAAATGCAGCGGCGAACCGCCGCAGGGCTGCACGTGCAGATGCAATTTGGGACAACTTCTGCTCGGCGGGCCTACGGCCGAACATGATCTGCTATGGAGCCTATTCCAAGGCCCACATGCTGGCAGGAAGTCCAGTTCGAGCTGTTGAGATCATCGATAACATGGAGATGCAGAAGGTGGCAAACATGAACTCCAATATTGTTGTCGACTATGGGCAATGTTTGCTGGTGGTTTGTCACTCGTCGACTTCCCCATCAAATAGACAAAAGTTGTTAGACTTCATCGCACGAGGAGACAAGATTATGACGAAGGATGGCCGAGGTAACACGAAGAACGAGTGGCAAAAGATCAGGGGAAATGCTGGCAAGCTTCTTGCCAACGCGAAGTCGTTGCAGTTACAAGACATCCTGTCTGAGTGGAAGGCACGGACCCTCAGCGTGATGAAAGATTGGGAGAACTTTGATGCGAACACAAAGTACCTCAAGATAAAGGCACCTGCTTACAGCTCGGAGGATGACAGCCTGGATTCTGGATCCTAGATGCAAGCAAGCGCTCAGAAAGAAGCAGGGAGTGTGTGTGCGGACCGCCGTCTAGGCACTCCAGATCAGGACTTCGGAGTGTTTGTGCGGGGTTTTCGGGCTTGTGGCTTCCGGGTTTGGAGTTTCAGGATGGTGGGATTTGGGCATGATATACATATATATATATATAACCTGTTTGGGGCCAAGGTTTGGCATGACCGCCGCCATCAGCCGCATCAGCTGTAAGATCCTGGATGGTGGAGTTGACGAGGCTGGAAGCAAGAAAGCTGGGACTCCGACTGTGAGAGGGTAGCTCCTCCCCCTCCCTAAACATTGTAAGACCTCTAAATGCCTTAAATTCCTACTGCCTACCTATACGCTTCAA